AGCCTGCTCCCCTGAGACCTCCCATGGGGTATAGGGATGTGCTAAGCTATGGATTTATATATATATGCTATGTAACTATAGAAAGTAACTTAAGCTAAGATAGGGCTATCTAGCTAGTTAGCTAGCAGACTTCTTGATATATAGAAATTATCAGAGTAAGGCAAGGTGGGTAGGGCTATGTGTAGGTAGTAGAGTAGGGCTTAGGAGGTATATATGGGGCTATGGCCCCTTAGTGTGTCTAGGCCTTGGCTGGGACAAAGGGAATGATTCTATAGGGAGAGTATGGGGGGGGCAGAAGGGGGGAGGGGCTAGGAAGGGGGGAGGGGCTAGGAAGGGGCTGTAGAAGGGGGAGTAAGTAGTATAGTTATATACTTACCCTGCATAGTAGCACAGCTATATATATATCTATGGTTAGGTAGGCTTATAGGCCTATAAGTATTAATCCAGGGCAGGTTAATAGGTATAGATTTTAGAGTAGAACTCTGTAGCCTAGAGAAGGTCTATAAACTCCATAGGCTTAAGAGAGTAAATATACTAAATTACCTCCTGCTTCCCTAATAGGGGCTAAAGGTACTATCTAGGCTATCTTTAAAGGCTATGCTAGGCCTTTATATAGAGGGTAAGATACTCTAGGCTCTTATTACATCTATAGAAGTATATAAGCTTAGCATCCTTATAATAGAATTAGTAGTAGTACTAGTTAAAGTCCCTATATAATATCCTTAGAGTAAGAAGCCTATAGAGTACTAGGTAAGATAGATTAAGTTCTAGCAGGGGCTTTACTTTATAGATAAGGTCCTAGTACTAGTATTATTAGGAGAGCTTAGTAGATATCTTTATCTACTATATTAGGTAGGCATTCTTATAGAGAGCTTAATATATAGATTAGAGGCTGCTAATTATTAGAAGGGACTTAGGGCCTTAATCTAGGGGCTTACTAAGTATTCCTTAGTTTATAAGGATATCTGCAGCCTTATTACCCTTAATACCTATATAGCCTAAGGACTACTTAACCTAGATATTATACTACTATATAGTAGTATAGATATAGAGGAATGTCACAGGCTAGAAGCCTTAGAAACCTATGACCTAGGTTTGGACAGTAAGAAATCACTAAAGGAGAAATCTAGCTAGGGCTGCAGTGGCTAAACATAAAAAGAAGTATGTAAGTAGTTTATGGGTCATATAATAAGGCAGATTACTATATTAATTAGTACAAAGTTACATAACCTATAGCTAGTGTCTAGTTTAGATAGGACTTTATAAGGGCTAAATAGCCTAAGCACTTAGTAGGCCCTGCCTACTATACTACCCCCCTCCTCCCTCTTAGGGGTGGTAGTTCTCCTAGGTGTTAAGCACTACTATATTAGTAAGGTTAGTAGTAGGCTCCTACATAGAGTATTTATAGCCTATCTATTTAACTAAGTATTCTATATAGTAGCCTTATCTAATTTACTTCTTATATTCCTCTAAGATCTCTTTAATTATATATTTAGCTTCACTATCTATAAGCTTTAGGGGCAGCTAGTAATTATTATTTAATTAACTTAGGAATAGGTTATCTACAGCAGGCTATAGGAGGCTAATATAAAATATATTATATATACCTAGTGGTGTTTCTAGTTAGTAAGTATATAATCTAATAGCTTCTAGCACTATAAACTTTGCATACTATATATTAAGCTTCTAGCTTAGATAATTAGTCTAAATATTTTATAGGTCTAACTATACTTTTAACTTAATAGTATAGCACAGGGCTACTAAGCAGGAGTAGTTTAAATATTCCTCCTAATACTATTAGATGGTAGCAAGCTCTAACTAGGCTATATTAGTGGCTTCTCTTATCTTTATTATAATTACTTTAACCCTTTCCTTTAGTAAGTAGGCTGCATTTATAATAGCAGCTTTATAATCTAGTAGTTTAACTTCTAATAGTTTAATATTATATCTATGGTCTAGGAAGAACAGGCTAACTCCTATGCTCATAGTATCTTAACTATTAATAGTAAGCTAGGCTATTAGTAATAGTAACTTCTAGTTAGTCTAGATGTAGTTATAGAAGTTCTGCAGGTAGGCCTCTAGTATAGTATTTATCTATTTAATCTACCTATCTGTCTGTGGATAGAAGGCTGTTAAGAGTTATTACCTAATACCTAGTTATTTATAAAAGTGCTCCTAGAACTAGCTAACAAACTATAGACTATAGTCTAATATAATTATACTAGGAACATCATAGTAGCTAATAAATTAATTAATTAATAACTATGCTACTATCTCTGAATCTATTTATTTATAGAGTACTAGGATCATACCCTTACTAAGCCTATTACTAATTACCATAATATCTTTATAACTATTAGATATAGGTAGCTTTATGATAAAGTTAATAATAATCTTATACTATTTATAATCTAGGATTAGTAGTGGTTTTAGTAATCCCTAGCTGTCATGGTGCTGCCATGAATAGGAGTTGGCATCGCTGAGGAGGAATCACGTGACCTTGGGAATATCTTCACTGCACAATTCTGAAACCTGTTTGAAGCTCTTTAAGCTATGTCCTGTCTATAGAGCCTGCCTGTACCAGCCTACCTGCAGCCTGGGACTGTTAGATAAGGATTAGTGTAGCCAGCCTGAGTGTTAACTACCTCTTTAACCCACCCCTGCTTGCCTGTGAGCCTGCACCTTGACACTAGCATTACTTATACTATATATAATTAGTACTATACTTATTATAGTTCTATATAAAATATTAGATATCTATAGAGAGCTCTAGCTAATAGGAGTTTTAGGTAACTATTATATATAGTGTATTTTTCCTAGGATGGCCTATAAGTATTAAGTTATGGGTCTCTTATAGTATCCTTATTTATAATAGTTCTAAATTAGGAACCTATTTATAGCTTTAATATAGTAGGTGGCTATCTAGTAATATTAAATATTTAGTAATTAATACCTGTATATGTA